TCTTGGGGGACACCCGTTTGGAGAACTACGGTGGCACTATGAAGCAAACGCCTCCTGAAGTTGAGTTGGATTTTGCGGGCTATTAGGAACGCTGACGTCCCACCGTCCAGTAACAAGGGCTTGCTTTCCGCTTCAACTCTACCAGGAAGGTCTTTCAGGGCGTGACAAGCTTTTTGAAAACGGTCTTTTGCATGATATAGGGGCAGATGCGGGAACCACAGAACCATGTTTAATTTTTCCTGAACGGCCCTCTGAATACCAGAAAAGGGGTCCCTAGTTCGATTCCTCGTGGTAACAAATTTTTGCATTTCGAGTTGACGTGCCAAAATTCGCGCAAAATGGAGTTAGAACCAACCAGAACAATCAGAACTCCATTTTGCGCGAATTTTGGAACGTCAACTCGAAATGCAAAAATTTGTCACCAAGAGGAATCGAACTAGGGACCCCCTTTTCTGGTATTCAGAGGGCCGTTCAGGAAAAATTAAACATGGTTCTGTGGTTCCCGCATCTGCCCCTATATCATGCAAAAGACCGTTTTCAAAAAGCTCGTCACGCCCTGAAAGACCTTCCTGGTAGACTGGCCAGTCCCCAATGTGTGGTCGCGTGGAACACAGTAGTGTGGAGGAAAAGGTGTGTAACTCTACAAATTCTGCACATTAGTTGCATCAACTACACTTTCTGAATCGTGTGTACCATCCATTTAATTTCCATGCAAGTAAACCTAAAGCGCTGCAGTAATGATAATTGACATGAACTGAAGTCTTCAGCACGGGATAATAAACAGCGGAGTGTTGTCAGGTCACGTTTGTGTTTCGGCACAAATAAATAAATTCGTTCCTTACCCATAGCGGACGGGGTAGTGTAAAGGCAGGCTTCCCCACACGCATGGTATGGTAGCAAGTCACAGATTAATTCTCACCTCAAATCAACCAAGTTCTCCAACTGTCCGGGTCGGTTAACTGATACTATCAGAGTTGCATAAAAGAATAAAAATAATGATTTGTACATCGGCTGGCCCCCGTAAGTCATTGCCTGAGGTGTACGGCATTCAAATGCCACTGCGGTTCTCAATGGAATAAGAATGCCCGGCCTCAATAAAGGACTAATCGGCGCTGAAACTTGATTTTTCACAATCCTTTCAATACTTGAAACCTTCGTGTTGCTTGAGGTATGTTAGTAGTTGTTCATAAATTACGATATGATCACATAGGAAATTGAGCGGAAATTTCGGTGGCATCTACCGTAACCCAGTGAGAGCAGCTCTGTTCTATGTAGAACAAGTCCCAGGACGGGAAAGAGAGCCCTCGAATGGACATTTCATAGTTACCGTGGGGACGGAGGCCACTCACAATCAGTACACCCTTCTCATTGGTGGACCCTCCTTGTGACCACGAGATGTCTGAAAGTGCACCAATAGGAAGGCACAATTTCAAAAGTGACTCCACCCGTGCAACCAGCGTGGAATGTTTATTTGAAGGTAAGCAGTCATATTAAAGGCAAAGGTTGGGCTCAGGCACGCTAGAGAAGTAATCCCCGTGCCTGGAGGTTGTATGTGGTAGCTGCACACATTGCAGCAACTTCCCACCTTGAAAACCCGTTAAGGGCCCCGGGGCGTTCGGTTTCAATCCAGGGCCGCCTGGTCAATCCAGGACCGCCCACCTCCGGAAGTGGTGCGTGGCTGGCATAACGTGTGAAATCAGCTAGGTTGATTGCCGTATCAACCGATAGAACGACTGACATCTCCAGAAAACTTGTTTGTACGTGCCTTTCCCCAAGCCAGCCTCCTTCACTGCTAGTGGGAAAGAGGGTTTTGTTAACGGCCTTGTCGACGGTTTTTCTCAGTTTTTTCTCCACTGTCGTTCCACTTCGCATCTCTATACTCAGTTTCAATCGCCATAATACCCCCTTATTGAGCCCGACTTTTGCCTTTTCATCTATTTCTGCTGTACAGCGCACTATCAACACGAATGACTCGCGATGCCTTCTACGTAACCCAGTGACGTCATTTGGGCTAAATATTACGCCACACTTTCACACGGGAGAGGAGATAGCTTTATTTTGCAACGAGCTCTCGCATTCTTGTTCGTTGTTCCCAATTGTTCTCTGTGGAAATGGTGGGCTTCGTAAAACAACGTATACGGTAAGTGAATTCATTGAAGTGCCTAGTGGCTGCTTACGTAGAACATTAAAAAAGTGCTTCAAATCTCACGGACGGTTGTTTGTTAGCTGGATGAGTCCCCTAGGAAATAAAGGATAAAGGATAAAGCATTTGCCGTTGATCAATCCCTTTTTGGGATGCGGCACGCATTCTACTTCCATTTGTACATTCGTAGTGGCGTTTGAATGCGATGTGGCCTATACAATGACTTGCGGGGCCAGCCGATGTACAAGTCAGTGTTTTTATCCTCCCAGACAAGTCTGGTACCAATTAACCGACCCCGGAGGGATGGAAGGCTTGGTTGGCCCGGGCGACTCACGACCCAGGATTTGATCCCCGGACCGCTCGCGTGGTAAGCGTGCCACTTGTCACTAAACCACTTCCGCCCTTTTATAGTTCCTAGCAGTAGTATTATTTCGTTTACGGTTATCTTTCACTGTTTATACTTCCAAAGGTGGTGTTATGGTGTCGCCAGCGAAATGCAATCGTTCAGGGAAGCAGAAGTTGATTAATCGTCGGTCCAGCCGCACCTTATCCGCCTCTCCGGCAGAGTTGTAATAAGCGCAACAACAGTCCATAGGAATAACTCAACAATGTTTGCGTAGGAGGCCCTTGGGAGAACAGTGAGTCGTTTCAGTAGTACGTTTTTTCTTTCGTTTTGTCAGCTATTTCTACTTATAAACTGTTTGTCTCGGAGAAAAAATTATGTGACAATTTCGATAAAGACAGACTAGCACGATTCTGTAAGGCTTATACTAACGGGCGCCGGCTATACTACGGCGCAAACATACGTCATGTTATGGTGATGGTCTCGTACTTTCATTTTTATCTGTTTAACATAGTATACGTCACTTCTATTCCTGGTGTTCAATTTCGTGATGCTGTTTTTATTTCGTGTAACTTCGTATAATGTATGCTATACGAAGTTAGGACGGTCCCGGTTGCTCATCGATACAAGAAATGGAGCAAACTCTGGCAACATTCTACACAGCTCTGTTCAAGTCGGACCTTCCTGTTATTCGAAGGCAAAGCATTGAGCAAAGATGAAGTTTTGCCCTTTCTCACATCGGAAGTGCGCCATGCGGTTGAAACTATGCCCCAAAACAAGGCGCCTGGAAGAGACGGCATCACTATAGAACTTCTTCGAGCATGCGGTCTGCCTTTATATCGAGCCCTTGCTAAGAGGTTTACGCGTTATGTAGCTGAATGTGCTGTTCCAAGGGCGTGGAAGCAGTCATCGACAGTGTTACTGTTCAAGAAAGGCGATAAAGAAGACCTGGCAAACTATCGTCCCATCACTCTGCTGCCGGTATTCTACAAAGTGTTTACGCGTTGCATATTGGCGCGTATCCGACGAACATTGGAAGAGGCTCAGCCAGTAGAGCAGGCAGGCTTTCGCCGCAATTTTAGCACGCTCGACCATATTATGACCTGTCGACGCCTTATCGAAGCATCTCGCGAGCATCAAAGTCGGACATCTTCCTTATTCCCTCATTTCCGAAGCTGGCAAAGAGCGTGCTAGTTGATCCATAGCTGGGGATAAGGCGCGGGAAAGAGAATATAGACGAGAAAGCGCAGCAAATGAGAGGGCGCCAAGCAACAGCCTGAAAGTGAAGCTGTTGAAGCTATTTTTGCAAAGCTCTAGCGCTCTTGCAAAGCCACTTCATGCACAGGAGTGTGACTTCTGTGATCGCCTTCTAGAGGTCTATTTTGCAGGACAAGGATATCTCTTCCCGACTTCTGCCTGGGTTGTGCCTTTAAAGTCGGAAACCATCAAATACCTACGCGGATTCGTTTGACAAACTACTAGGAGATCCGAACTCTTTCGTCTCCCTGGACCGGCCCTAACGGTAATGTATATGGTTTCTGAAGGCGACACAATGACCATGCTCGAATTTCTTGTTTGCATGCTTCCCTTATTGTCGCAAACGAGATTATAGCTGTTGACCCATCAGAAAAGATGATCATTTGCAAACACCTTCATGACTGCCAAATGGGACTCGGTAACGACCACCTTCAGAACGAATAAAAGGGACTGACAGCCGATACTCTCTACTCTCCTTCATCGCATCAAATCGCTATGCTTCGCCTAGTTGTCCTTCTCAGCATCGTCGCTGTTTCCCTGGTAAGTCATTCTGAAACAAGCTCACCCTCAGGAGTGAAGGCTTGGAGCATGGTTTTGTATTCAGCTGGGAATAACATTAAGCCAATGAGGATATCGCCTTATATTAGCCTGTGCTCCAAAAACTTCGACAACGGCCGGAGCAGGCGGCGGTTCTGGTTCTTCCAAGAAGGCAAAACGTGAAGTTTTTGAAGGCCAAGTTATTGTGGCCACCCGCCAAGACTACGATCCGGCAATGACTAAGTCGTACATGGGCGTAGTGAGAGCTGCGGTAAGCAGTGGAATACGTACAGAAAACCTAGAGATTGACTTCTTTAATGCGGTACTTTACTCGAATCCTCTAACCCTACGACTAGTGGACCACGTACAGTCTTAGATTCGAGCGATGAAAGAGCAAGGAGTGATCATCAGCCATGAACAGATCAGAGAAAGAGCAGAAAACGTCGGCGGGAAGTTCTCTGTCACCTACACCATCTTTGGTGTGGACTGCACTCAGGTATACCCTATGCCATCTACAGAAACAAAACACAGCATACGGTCCGCTCAAAGGTTTCGATTTTGAAGAGAGACATCAATCCTCCGATTTCATTGAAGAAAATGATAGTGACTAGATGTTTGAGCGATGAGACGTGATTTTGAGTATTGGCGGCAACAAACGGCTTTTCTGATATGTGAAAAGCCTTTGGGCAGGAACAGTCGAGCGATTAAGGGTCATAAGTGTAGGCCAATGTAATCGTAGACAAATAAATCGAAAGTTAGAAAAGAAACTGAGCAAAATCACGGTGGGTTTAGTCACGGAACATTCGCGTGGCAGCGTTGCGACCTCCCTCTCGCGCATTTGGAACATACTTTTTTTGCGGGTCTCCGCTAAGAGGGGCATTCGCGTGCACGGTCTGCTCTAATGCCAATTTGGCTCAAGGAGTCCTTTAAAGTTACGAGCTGCTATCAGCTTTTTTCCTATGTTATTTCTTCAGGTGTTTTGTGTAATGTATGTATTCTTGTACTAGATGACATTAACGTCTACGAAAAGTAATATTCACCTAGTCAGCAGGTCAGGACTAAGCCTAGGAGGGGGAGGAAGTCCCCCGGGGAAACCAAGATTGCTCACGGACCCCGGGCTCCTTCCCTTCGAGGCTACCGAAGGTCTTCGGACTGACAAGCTTCTTGAAAACGGTCTTTTGCATGATATAGGGGCAGATGCGGGAACCACAGAACCATGTCCATTTTTCCTGAACGGCCCTCTTAATACCAGAAAAGGAGGTCCCTAGTTCGATTCCTCGTGGTAACAAATTTATGCATTTTGACGTGCCAAAATTCGTGCAAAATGGAGTTAGAACCAACCAGAACAATCAGAACTCCATTTTGCGCGAATTTTGGAACGTCAACTCGAAATGCAAAAATTTGTCACCAAGAGGAATCGAACTAGGGACCCCTTTTCTGGTATTCAGAGGGCCGTTCAGGAAAAATTGAACATGGTTCTGTGGTTCCCGCATCTGCCCCTATATCATGCAAAAGACCGTTTTCAAAAAGCTCGTCACGCCCTGAAAGACCTTCCTGGTGAGTGAACGTCTCACGATAAAAATTGGGCTTTCATGTGAACTAGCTCAGATTCGCTTATGCCACTCCTACTTGAGACCCCTTTTTGCTATAACTTTCAAGAAGACCTTCACCTGTTATCACGCCTTCGATCTGCCGAGAATCTGTACTGAGCGGACGGCAGTGCAGCGTGAGTACTCCTACAGCGGCCCCAAGCCGAATCAAATCCTTCTCCTGGGAGAACGCATCCCTGCCGCTGATCCTATACAACGGCTGGGAGAGCGATGCGTCATAGGACCCGGATCGAACGCGTGACGCTGCACCTACCCTCCCCTGTTGAGGCACTCTCTTCTAGGGTGAATATCGGTCGAGGATTCCTCAACGGCACGTCGAGGATTTTCGCCTGATCAGTTACGTTCTCCCGCGCGGACATTCACACTCGCCATGCGCGAGCCGTCTGTGCTCTCCGCGCGTACGTTCACTCTCGGCACTACTCTCGCACAGTAGAGAGCCATGGTCGAGGAATTCCTCGACCGTTATTCACCCTGCTTTCTCCTCTATGGGGTCGCTGGAGTCTAGATTCGCAGAGTATAGCTTTTCCCCTAGGGGAAGGATAGGATACGGCCCCAGAATAGCCTCCGGTTTTATTGGCCTACAAAGGAGAATAAAGGATAAAGGATTCGACTAGCCGCAGAGCTGTTAGATTTCTCGTAATGCAGACCTTCTGCTCTCCTATTATGTATACTACATGCTTGGACAGCACCCAACAAAATTCATTTTTCAGCTGAGAAACTTCGTCTCGGCAACGAGGAACAGTACGGTCATCATCGAATACGTCACTGTCACATGCAACGAAGAATCGGTACTTCTATAGCTTCAAATTCGGAGCCAATTGAAATAAATTTTGCGTCAATCGTGTGTATGACTCAGTTTAGATCGCTACATTGATTGTAGTTTTATTAACCGCTGTCGAAAAAATTCCTCAAGCTTGCAAAAGCAACGCTTTCAACTGTCCTTGTCTTCAAGGGGGAAATCATCATGAAAAGACAGCTCGTTATAAAGCAAGATAGAGATGGTCAGTGGTGCAGGGATGAAAAGAAACCATGAGAAACGGCCAAAACCCGAGAAATGGGACCCCTTCCTTGCCCGTTGATTTCCGCATTGATGCGACTCTCATCGCTGCTGCCCTCTTCAACGCTAACGCTCTCTCTGTTAGACGGCCAGTGCCTCGTTCAACGGCACCGAACATTGAATTGCGGATGGGCAAGTGCTATGACATCCCAGTGGCAGAAAAAAGAGAATCCAGAACTCGCAAAATGGGACCCTATACTTTGCCGTTGATTTGGAGTAGGGGCGAGCCAACAACTAAAAAATCAGTCGGGTTTCAGTTTTTTAAGAATTCCGTGGTAACATACACTAACAGCCCAGCGAAAGATGAAGTGAAGCAGAGGAACGAAATAAAGATGTAAAGGAAAACAAGAGAAAAAGAACAAAATCATTGCGTCTCCGAAAAATAGCCAATGCTTTCCCTTGTACGTAGAGATCACCTCCCATCGCATTTACAGGGGGTACATGCGAGGCGGCGTTTTATTTTCACTTCCGGGTTGCCCAAAAGAAGAATAATGAATGGAACAAATTTGTTACATTATGAATGCATATAAAGAGTGGTTCGTTTCGCCTCCAACTCAGACGAACCACTTTATTCCGCCAATCCCAGGAGGCTCCTCAGTGAGGCTGGGAATGACAGAATTAGTCTGATTGGTAAAGGTTATAAAAAAATTAAAAAGGAATTATAAGGACCAGTATGAAGACAACAATTAAAAAAATCAGCATTATGAGATATTTCACAGCACTTGAGCGGGCAAAAATGTCATAAAAAACAAGATGTCTTTTGTTCAGCAGACGGTACGCAATTAAATCTTCAATACACGGTTAAATGATTCCGCATCTGCTGTGATAATTAGACTATGAGGTCGGTATCAGACTTCGCAACTGCGTAGATTCCCTCGCGAATCCACGGATTCGCGAGTCAACACCGACCTAAGGCTCCGAGGCGGATTTTATTCAACGAGGCAATGACGGAAAAGATGTCATGGGATAAAACCAAATCCAGTGCTGACATAATTCAGGATTTCGCGACCACTTACTTCTGCTAGGAATTGACTGAGTGTTACAAAACATAATATATCCAACTTTAATAGCAGACTTGAAAGGAGTCACTCACAATGAAATGGCACTGCACTCAATTCCACGAATCTCTTAAGTTTCCGGAGATATGAAACGTGACTGCAAACGCTAATGCATCATCTCTAGATGAACCGATGGAACAGATAGAAAAAATGAAGCGGAAACCCTACTTAGAGGTTTATAATCTTTAAAACGTCACTTGGACAGATAATCAACTTACTGTAGAAACTTAATCTGAAACAGAACATTCCTTAAACGGAAATAGTATCACAATCGGACAAATACATTAAACTTAGTCAGGCAATATAACTTAGGACTTTCTCTCACTAGTTCAAACTATGAAAGTCATGATCATTCACAACATTGTAATTCACTTTAAATTCACAAGAGGCACTGAAAAAAGTGGAATACAAAAACAAAAACTAACAGGGAATCGATGGCAACTTGCACAAAACATATGTACAATGGCTTTCACAAAAATCAGCGCTGTGTAAACGGGAGAGTAACCATGTGCCCAGCCGTCTTCTGAAAAAATTTATGATCAGACTAACTTTGAAATTTTCACAATAATTGACAACGATGCCACTTAAGTTAATTATAATTAATCCCAACTATTCATCTACCTTCAAAACCATGCTATGTGCCAGAGACTCGGCTGACCACTTCATCCACCCACGCTACTCTGTCCCCATCAAAGATCTACATATTAATGATCAAATTTCATATTGAAACAGTGCGCATTCCCATTCTACTACACCGAGGAATACTAGGTTGGAAAAAGTGAATAAGGTTTTCAATCGACAATTTATCATATTTTATTGGCTAATCGCCGAGATTTTGGTGTCTTTTGAAGCACGTATTACCTCATAACAAGAAATAAGAACTGAATCCTCAAAGAAGGCCCTTACTATTTTTCATTTTCAAAATGCTTCCGTGACCACCTTTCAGTCCGAACTTCGTGTCCAGCAAATACCATGTTCCCCTTTAATAGCCCTTTTTGCCCAGTCATCTGCTAAAGAACATCAACAAGGATGTGCGGAATAAAACGATCAGGATGGGTGTGCAAAAAATGTCTCCCAATATCCAGAACGGTATGTTCAACGAGCTGAGCAACTGGCCAGTTACTGGATGAGTGTCAATGAGGAGCGTCTTGACTTCGGGAAAGGAATTGTTAGTTACTGCTACAGAATGAACCATGCCTGAGGACTTTTAATACCAGAACATCGAAAAATTGCCAAAAAACAATAAAGTTTCCACACCCAAACTTTTGTTTTCAAACAAGTGCATAGTTAGTCAATAATCTACCACCAAATATAAGGTAAACATAAATGGCGCCACCCTTTCATTCTATATCATGCCTTACCAATGGTGAGTTACAAAAGTTCAAAACGGATACAAACCCTGGATAGTTAGCATGTTATCATGTCACTCCGTTTAACAAGTTTTAAGATCTGCCCAGCCTTTTAGGAGTATACTCATTGGGATCATCATCCCAAGTAGCAAAATAACATAAGTTCGAACGAAACTTCACCTTAAATTGATCGTTATGAGCTGCAATTTGCTCTACCCATGTGAGCAAGGTTCGCGTAATGGTTGCATACGATGAGAAGTCCACCTTTTCAACGAACGATGAGAAGCAGTCATCAAGCAGAATTTGCAACTGTAAAGAGACTTGGATCAAAAATGAACATCAATTCAAGTGATAATACGTAATAACTTCGTCCTGAGCTGGCTGAATCCAATTTTGAGTTGGCCAATGAACAGGTGGCACTTTGAGAGCCTTCGGCAGGCATACTTCATACTGACTCGCAATCATCTCTAGCGCAGAAATCTTAACCAGTTTCCTGATTATAAATGCGCAAAAAATTCATCAGATTCCTTCGTTATCAACCTTGTGAATCAATTGGACTTAACTGAAATCAACACCACGACGAGCACTTGAAAACGTCAAATTAACAAACCTGAGCACTGAGCTGTCGTATCTCTTTCTCATTGTCTTTAACTTCGGACGATAACTGATGCATGTAGTCACAAGCCCTTCAACAAAAGACAACAATCACAGGATAAATCTAAACTGCAATGAAGCGGCAACAACGGTGCTTTCACAGCGAGTCAGCAATGAGGGAAGAACTTCAACCACTTACCTGCAGTCGGATGCGCCTGCGTTTGTGGTTTTATCATCTCATAAGCAAAGCTTTTGCGAATTTAGCTGTCAGTCAGAATACCCGCTCTGAAAAATGGAATTTGGGAAGAAGCACGTGATCATGCAAATAAATTGTATCTGGCTTGCGACAGCTATGCAATTTCCAGGTGGGAGAGGGGGGGGGAATTTTGACGGCCGTAAGCTAACCTTCCCGGGAAACGAGTCCCCCTTCCCGATGCCTCCACCTCACCCTAGATAGAAGCGAGGGTGTCGTCAAGAAACGCCACAAACTGATGCTGTTGTGCTGCTATCAATCCCTGTAGGCTTGAAGGCATCAGGATTATATTGAAGGTTGATTCTACTCAAATGTGAAAGTGGTCATGGAGTGACCCCAGCAAAAAAGGAAAGAAAATCCTGAAATATACAGGAAATACGAGCATTTTGCTCCATGCTGTGGAGAAGTTCAAAAGACAGGCAGGGAGATGAGAGATAATGTGAGCGCGGAGAGTGGTAGAGAAGTCCGAGAAGAGAGAGCATAGCAGATCAACGCAGCGACGCAGACAAGATATCGAACGGTGGGCGGACCATGTTAAGTTTGGTGGAGTCTGTTAGAAGTTCATGGCGCCTAGGTCCTAGTGACGCGTTTCGATGTAGAAAGGTGGCGCTACCTTTGCACTTGCGTACCCAGCACTTCTAGCCATGGTGAGGGCTTCTTAGGTGAGTCTGAGCCCGAACAGCCTTTGAGCACTAGGTTCTCTGAGAGGGTGCGTTATTGTGGCTCTCCAGAAGGTAAAACCACAGGGGTGAGCAAGTTCTATGACGCCACCCTGTCTACTACCCAACCTTACAACAGGGTATGGTAGGGTCAACCGTCCGTTGCACAATTCGAACGAGGGGGTCGCATTTGTGATTTCGAGAGATGCACTTGGGAATTGAGCAAGGCTATCATAGTGGGGATGGAGGCTGACGGAGTGTCGTTAAAAAAGGTTTTTGTTTAGACGGGTTTCGTATAACGAGTTTGCTGCGAAGGATGAAAGAATTAGCAAATTTTGCTGTCTTCTGATACTAAATTCACCTGCCCCCGTCAGCTCGGCGGTCGTTTTGGTGAACAGAGTGCGGTGTATTGGGTATATCGACTAGTCCTGAGAATCAACTGTTAGAAACAGCACGATGTGCAATGATATGAGGGTGATGGCCGGGAAGGTGAGGGTGGTCTTACTTCAGAACCTTCCAAGCTCGCTGTGGTGGTGGAGAGTCATTGAGACCCCGCCCGCTAAAGGAGAGGTCGCTAAATTCTTTGAACAAAATGACAGTTGATCCTATCCTATGAGTAACTTGAACTCGTTAAACAGACTACTTGAATTTCCTATCCTGGTCGTGCGCGATGTGCTAGACGATTAGAGAACGGGTGAGTGCCCAAACGGCCTAAGCTGAGAGGAGAGTACCAGAAGAACCTGGGTTCAGAAGCGCTTTAAAAGAGCTGGGTTCAAGTAGTCCGTCCGACCCCTTGACTCGTCCTACCAAACCTCCATATGATAGGTTGCTGCGCTCTCGTCGCCCCAAAACAAACTTGCATGTCTCACACTCAAATTTTGCCACGCTCTAAGTGGTTCACCTATCCCGGAGCCCCTCCCTTCAAAGGCTTCTTAGAGTTCTCACCTTCCTCCTTGATTTGAAGCCGAGCGACGCCGTTATCTAGTCATTCGTTACAGATAACAATGAGAAAGTTCAAGAAGTCACGTAACCTTGAGATAGCATCGAAGGAAGGGAAGGCGCAACACCTCCCTGGAGGAAGAATAGAATTCCGCCCCGAGTGGTGGGTGAGCTACTTCGCTTCCGCACTTACACCCACCTAGGCGCATTACCTGCAAAAACTGAAGCCAGTGTAGGCGGCGCAAAATGTTGCACCTATTGTCCCCTTTTTGGAATAGAGCCCCCCTGTGTGCTTGAATTACACCGTTATCTCATTGAGAGGATGCAAACAAGCAGCGCAGCGTGACGGGAACTGGCATCCCGATCTCCAGTTTGCCAGAAATTTCTGTCTTTTGAGGTTAACAAACCAATGCTCGAACTCAATGAGTTCCTAGACCTCAAAATACCGAGAACTGTTTACAACTCACATTGATAGCCTCTCTGCGTTGTCGTTCACATCGAAGATGAGTTTGCTTCTTCTTATCCGAATAAACAGACGAATCCGAACCGGTGGGGCTCATTTCTGACACTTCTCCTTGAGCCGTGGAGGTACGTCGGCGACCACCCATTTTCTTTACACTGTAGGACATCGGCAGATGAACAGATTGTCACAAAGTTCGTCAAAAACACTTTAAAACACGCAAATACCCACAAAATGCTAGAGAATCATTTCGAGTTGAGAGAAAAGCAATGGAGGACGATGACCGCCTCAGACTGTGGCGTTCGACTTTGGGAAAAGCCAATGACATCACGTGGCGCCCACGTGAACGTAACATTGCGGACATCACGTAGATTACGTAAAAACGCACAACTTTCGTGCAGGGTTTGTTTTTTGGGTGGTACTCGTCACACTTCGTTCTTTAGAAAACCTGCTATCCCCCAAAATTTTGCTCACAAGGTCAGGGCTAGCTAACCAGATCAGTTTAGGAATCACGAGTATTTAATTTGGAAAATTAAGCATACAGTTACTGTAGGCAAGTTACCTGAGAAAATTCCTTGTAAGTCAATTCTCATAATCATTTGTTATTGATGTTGATATTTTTCTGGCTTCAGAAATGCAGATCCTACCCTGCAGTTGAGTTCTGTATGAAGAGATCCTTTCTTTATAGTCCGATAGATTAGAAAATCTGTAAATAGGCTTCAAATCAGTTGTTTACCCTGTCTTTTGAAACACATCGCCGTTTTCATGTACTCCGTGTTTCTTTTTATTGCAATTCGATCCTTCAAATATAAATTTATTTTGAATGTGAATTCAGTTCTCGATGTCCAATATCGCGTTCACTCGAATTCAACGGGAATGCAAAGAAGTTGTCACCAATAAGGAGATCGCTGAGACGGGTATTATGATCGAAATTCTGAATGATTCACTGTCGGAGATTAAAGGACAAATCCGAGGACCACCCGATACACCATATCAAGGAGGCTCATTCGATTTGGAAATCAAGATCCCGGACACCTACCCATTCACACCGCCAAAGGTATTCTTGCCACTCTGTTTCATAGGTTTCATAGTGGTTATACCTTTTTTCATTTTTTAAAATGTTCGAACATGTGGTACAACGCTTCTTATCAGTAGTTGCCGGAGCAGATCTCACATGAAATTATTAAACAATGACAAATGTTCACACATGTCAACGAAGGCAAAAACGTTCTAATGCCGAAGAATTGTTCCTCAATCACAAATCAGTTCATTTTGCAAGCACAAACATTGCTACATTCCTATTACAGTTCCTAATAAACCATTCAGATCAGATCTTGACTGGTCTGACGATGCAGATTTTATGTATGTATGGTATTTCAGATCAAGTTCCTTACCAAGATTTGGCATCCCAACATCAGCTCTCAAACAGGGACGATTTGTCTGGACATTCTCAAGGATCAATGGTTGTTATTTTTCGCTTTGCTTGATTAATTTTGGTTTTTGATAATTATACGGGGTTTCCGTTATGGATATAAACAAAAAGTTAAACTTGGTCGCAAAACACATGTGTAATCAGAACGATGTCCTATTTGTTGCTGGACGTTCTTTCCTGAAAAGTCAAGGAATTAATGGCAGGGCAGGGTCGCAGACCATCAGGTGGGAAACAGACTCGACCATTGTGTCTGCTATCTGGAATCTGGAATCTGTGGTATGAGGTGTCGAAGAAGGTACAATCGAGAGAACTGTTGAATTCTCTGTTGAGACTTAGCGTTTTACGGTGGAGTGCGAAGTCACTTCGCGACGTAGTGCTAGGTGCAGCAAGTATCGCGTCTTAGTCGGATGTTGTTTGTTTGTTATCACAAAATGCAGCAGGTACACGTATTTACAGCCAAAGGCATCTGCGATGTGACGTCACGCGAAGGGGTAGGGAGAGGTCGAAGGCCTACTTGAACTCAGTCCTTTAAGCCGCCTCAATTCGATGCTCTCGTCTGAACTCCTTTTGCCACGCTGAGTTGGCTCACTCACTTCGAAGTCTCCCTCCCTCCTACAACAGTGCTCCCTTTTTCTTGCTTGGGATTATGGAGCCGAGCCAGGCGCCGTTCTCTGATTGTCTGTGCCCTCTGCCATTCGTGGCAGGACCAGAGAAGAAAGTTCAAGTAACCCGCAAAGCAAGGGGTAGGGAAACCCAGAGTGGGTGAGCAATTCAAACTTTCCCAGGAGTTCCTACCCCACTTCACGGCTCAATCCTAGGGAATGCCACCGCATGTTGCGAGAGCGCCTTCGCTGCGATAGGCTGGAGTGGAGATGAATGAAATTTCCACGTAGATGATCAAGCAGTGCCAGAATGGATGAGTGAATTTGAGCCTCAGCGCAAGAGAGGAGTGAAAGGGTCCAGAGTGGGTAAACTGACCATGCGGGATGAAATATGGACAGTGCGAGGCTGCAGGCTACTCATGTGAAAGTGTAGAGTTGGGCAACACTTCGAGGCGGTTCAAGGAACTGTCTTCAATTAGCTCTGAAGCGAACGTTATGTTGGGTGTTGCGTGTTCTGAGTAGAGCCACACCTGTGTGATTTTACCGCAGCAGTTTTTGGCCACAGGAGTACGTTAGTGTACTGCGTATTTACACGTAAGAGCAACGTCGCGTTAAGTAATGCTTACTACCGCATACCCGTTACAGCACGGGTTCAGTGACTCCATTATGGCCGATGTCAGACTTTGCGAATCGCGCGATTCGCTAGCGTCCGCGGTCGCGTTGCGGTACCAGCCAATTGAGTGATTCACTGGCCGCGACGCGACCGCAGACGCTAGCGAATCGCGCGATTCGCAAAGTCTGACATCGGCCTACCTGGTGTCAAGTCGCGCGATCCGCCGCCATTTTCGCTGGTTTTTCGCGATTTTCGCGTTGCGCGATTCACGCCGCGGGTCACGGAAATCACAAGTGCTCGATCAGTACTGCAAGGTGTTCTTCAATGTCGCCGCCACTTCTGCTTGATTGTGATGGCTGAATGCTGGTGCTCAATGATAGCACTTGATTAATAATCAGTGTTTCGAACGTTCATGGGGCACTTTGTGATCCGCTTTCAATTGGAATCCTCCGGTTCTTTATGTCTTTTAACCCACGCGTTGCTCTGCGTGGGTCTGCAGGAGTGAAAGTTAGAGTCTTTGTCTCAAGCGGTTTTCGCACCAATTAGCCCAGAGAAAGAACCTAGCTCGTCCAGCGGAGGTTTATTCCGTTCTAAACCATCATGGCCATACGCGTTAGCTTCGCGGCTGCCACCCGTTATACTTCCGTCACTATAGGGATGTTGTAATGTATGCTCGACCATACATTTGTTTTTGTTCAGTTTGCTTAGGAACAATGTTAACCCACGAAAAAATAGCAAACTGTTCGTTTTTCAGGGCTGCGTCGTTAACGCTGCGAACAGTACTTTTGAGCATACAAGCGCTCATGTGCTCACCTGAGCCAAAAGATCCGCAGGATGCTGTTGTAGCCAAACAATATATGTCCAATCCGGGGCTGTTCAAGGTAGCTTTTTTTCTGTTCCATATGAATTTTCGTTTGTTTTTTTTTTCTTGATGTCGACTTCAGTTCTCTCCTAAGAATCGTGCTCCTACAAGTGCTAAGGAGCTGCAGCTGCACCATCACTGGAAACCTTGTTTTGAAGGCGCATGCAAACGTATTTAATTGTCGCTGCGTGTTGACCCATCCGCTAAAGATTATTTGCGTGGACGTAGGATAATAAGTCGTCGTGAGCCTTTGCCAACTCAAGAATATCGTTTGATTAGAAAAATGTGACCTCTGTGATTATGGGGATGTTTGGCAGACTGACTTGATCAGTTTTAGCAAAAATCCAACGTATTCTACCAGGCTTATAAATGGACTTTTTTCTCGCCAATATGTTGGTTTCACTCGTTTAGTTATATCAAGCAAGCACTTCATGGCTACCATTGAAATGGCATTAACGCCCTCCACCCTTGCTTGTGAGCGTCGGAAAAGAAATTTGAATGAGTTGTGAGTAGTAGGGAATAAACCCGCCCTTCAAAACCGTTACAGGACTGAGTGTTTTTCTTTTGCATTTTACAGAGAAAGCGGAATCTGCATAGGTCCAAATGATTGCACTTTAAAACACAATCAGATGTATTTGGCACCACAGTCTTGCCTAAAAGGAGCGAATGTACATCTATTCACTCGGTTTTTTCATCCTCAAGGTATAGATGGCCTTGAAATTTCTTGCCTGCGATTGTGCAGCGCTACTGTCGTTTCAGTTGCAATTTGAAGCGCAAAAGTGATGCCCTTTTGTTTCTTTTAACAAGCATAGAGTGCATAATTTGTCACTGTTTTTCTGGGAATGTGCTAGCTCAAGAACAGCTATTTGTAAAGCTTCGCAAAGTTGATGTATTGTGTATGCTGCCTCGCTTTGTTAGTTGCAAGAATTGCAGGTATCTATTGCGCTATGATTCTGCCTTGTTTTCTCTTCAGCACTCATCGATCTCACTAGTTATAGGTGTATGTAGTGCGAATATTTTTATGGCTTCTGTATTACTTGAAGTGGAGCTTTTAGACGGATGGGTTGGCTACTTTGCATCTTTGGAGGCGTTGTGGTTCAGTGATATTTGAAATATTGGACATCGCGTTGAAAGTAGGCTAATATGAGGACCCCCTTGAATACCCCTAGAAACTGTTTCTGCATCTATCGTTATCAATTTCTTTTTAATGTCTCCACGTAACCAAGGTCAGCCTGGCGTTGTTCTCTCAGTCTAATTTCACATTGGTCACACAAAGTCGGGTGTGACCTCTCTATATGTTCTTGCAATGATATTGCTAACACATGGTTTAGTCTTTACATTAACTCATCGGCGCCAACCGTTTTCCTTACTTCCTCTGTGCCCACCAGCGGCGGCTATTGATGGACAATCATCAGTGCCATCTCGTGTTCCTGAACGCGTCGCCTTTCTCAAAGCCGAACTTTAGGGGTTGTAGCTCATCTTCCTTTTTCAGCAACTTACTAGTCAATGTTGGGAATGATAGAATAAAGCTTTGTGCGGTGTTCACCGTTAATACTTCATTTCGAATTTTGAATGAGGTGATTAGTCGAAACATGAGGTCGGCAAGAGATTTCACCGACCATCCTATTGTCTCAGGGAAAGGTATAGTAATTGAGGAGTTTCTCAAAGAATAGGGTGGAATACTTTCGGATTACTATTTTTGAGATCCGGTAGTTTTAACTTATTTAGCTGACAGGAAATGACGGCTCAAGGGTCTTATGGTTTTTGGCCCTATCACGTGTAGTTTTCGATTTGATCTTACAAGGGAGGTCTTTCAGGGCAAGGTGCGCTTTTGGAAACGGTTTAGTACATGTTGTAGGGACGCATGTATGGACCACAAAACCATGTTTCGTTTTCGCTGAACGGTTTTAGTAGTACCAAAAAAGTGGTGAATAATACTCTTGATGGTTCAATCCCCCGCGGCGACTAAATTTTGCAATCAAGGTTGGCGGCCATTTGTTGGCTTCAAAATGGTCCTGACGATGAATTTGACATCTGATTTTGATATTTAGCGCGATTTGGCACCAAACCGTAGGCGCCAACCCAAATGCAAAATTTAGTCGCCACGGGGATCGAACCCTTAACAGTACCTTATGCTTCTTTTTGGTACTGCTATAACCGTTCAGCGAAAAACGAAACCATAGGGTTTTTGCCGTTCCCTACATGCCGTCGCTACTAAATCACAAAAACCTGTTTTGAAAAGCGCGCCATTCTAGCCTTGAAAGACCCTCGTCGTTATGACTTTCGAGGCTATCATTTTCTCATGTCTTTAACACGTTGACGACGAGCGATTTTTTCCTTGTCGCGCGCATGGGACGAGGCGTTTTTTGCATGCAAAGCGCCGGTAACAACAGGGCAAAACTTATTTTGTAGCTCTGTAAAATCTCGAAATGCACAAAATGCCTTTGACTAGAGTACTCCAGACACGTTTAGAAACAAGGAAAAGTTGTTACTACTGAATGCTGGGTGAAATTTCAGTGACATCGCCTGGCATTTTCAAACCTCATGTTAGAATAGGTTCTGAAGGCGCAATTTCACGCATTCTTCATTTTATTATTAATATGAGCTTTCCTTTAGATGGTACTGGTATCCTGATCACATCTGAAATCTTCTACGAATTTTTCACTCAAGAATGACGCAAAAAACTTTGCGTACCTGACGGAATGAGCTTTTGTTTGACTGTTATCTTGTTCTTCATGATCGAATAAGAGATTTAAACGAGTCATTTCAAGGTCAAAAAAATTGTTTGTGAAAATATTTGGCAGTTGATGGACTGGATAGGTACTTTTGTCCTGCCTATGAGTAAGACTGAGCCTACTTGACCATCATGGGAACCTAAGGCTAGAAATGGACATTCTACTGACGGTGACCTAATTAGTAAAGGTCGATATGAAAAATTTTTAGTGAGTTTTCCAGTTTGCTGACGGTGGAACTTTGTGGTTGTGATTCAATTGACAGCGCGTTTCTGCCACTGATAACTAATTCAGAATAAAACTCCCAGGAATTAGAAAGATCATAATTCGCAGACAAGTGTAGTAAGTTAGGACACTGAAGTAAACGTTGAAATAGAAAAGTCGCGGGTTCCATCTAAGTTTGCTTACTTTCAAGCTGTCGGTCACCATTGACCGACATCGTCGCCACGTGTTAAAACTGTCCGTCGGTCAGCATTGGAGTACTTGTGAATTACAACTTCTTAACGCTTCTTGTCCCGATCGCACGTTATAATACCCCTTGGCCCTTTCGTCCGTGAGTTGCGAACTAGGGTGGTTTGGACTTGATTTTGGAGAATATGTTATAACTTAGAGAAACATCGAAGTGGAATTTTCGGAAGTCCTTTTTTGAGAAGTGACTAGTTTGGTAATTCCTGTAGTACTAGTGTTTCAGAGGTGTACGTGCTTCAGTTGCAGATAAAGTGCTTTGAAAAAATCGGCTCATTTCACAGCGTAATAATCAAATCGTTTTGTGAACTCGCTTGACAGTCGGTGTAGTCATTGCTATTTGTACATGTGATTCTTCCGAAGTGCTCGCCCAAGGTTTTTGTGGCGAAGTGCTCACTTAGATATGCTTTCTCTGGGCTATCGACTTTTCGAGAGTGAAGGAACATTCATTCAATTCTTACGTTTTAATTTCAGTGAGTTTTGTGTATTTGTCATTCTGAATAATGCTTTTATTCCAGGAGACAGCAGTTTACTGGACGATAAAGTATGCGAAAGGGAAGGCTGAAGAAAATCCCCACTATAGAGAACGTGTGGAGAAACTTCGAGACATGGGCGTTACCGAGGTAATGTGAATAAAGAATTTTTTTTGTTTTTTTTTTGATTTTTTTCTTCGAACTCTTACTTAACTTGACATCAGTAATCACTTAATGAATCCACCCTTCGTTCATGTCATTCACAGACTGATTTTTGGCATGGTACAGTTGCTCGGACTCGCTCTCAAAACTACAGTAACACTTGGTGTTTTGGAGTTTGTTAATGATTCCAATGGTTATAATGGGCTTCAAGGAATCTCTCGCAGTTCTCCCACCCTGCGTTTCTCAGTTTGTGTTCGGAATTTAACTTTACCGACGAGATTTAGATATTACATTTTTGCACGTGCAAAGGACTGGGAGAAGTCAGGGGCTCCCCACAGTGCTTCATTTGTGGGTGGACCATGTACACCACATATTCAGATTTCCACAGAAACTGCTGAATCAATTTTGTATTCGGTTTTTTATAGGCGTTTCTTTTTTCAGGATGAAGCGATCTCAGTGCTTAGTTGCAACAACTGGGACCTAGCAAAAGCAACCGACTACATTTTCTCTTAAATGCAATACTCGATTCTCTTTAAACATAAAGTAACTATGTTTGTGCGCTCTTTTACTGGTTCATCTTTCCATCCTTATTAGGGTTCATCTAATGGGTTAGATTTAATGCAGTATGATTA